GTCCTTCTGCCTGCTCTGCTCCCCGCTCTGGCTCTGGTGAATTCTCTCACCCTCCCGTGCTTCTGACTGTACCCAGTGCATGTATAAACAAAACAAACAAACAAACAAATAAATAAAAAACATGCCTCTATAAAAAAAAAAAAAGATTTTATATCCTTTTTGCTTCTTGATTTAGCTATATTAGGTGTTTCCAAAAATACAGGTTAGCATTGTATTCTATAGAGCTAGGACCCTCATGAACTAGAAACAAAAATATAAAAAGGTCATCAATCCTTGAGAAGTACTTTAAAACTGGCTAATTTCAATCCCTCCCAGAGCCTGCTATTTGTAATGGTCTTCTGGAATGTAGAGGCTTACACTAGGGAAGAGAATGAATTGTCCAAAGGCGTAAACAACCTGTGCTACAGAGTTTTGCTCCATGTCATCATTTTCCTGAATTCTTTACACCACAGCAGTCACCGTAATTTTAAAATGTATGGTTCTCTCAGAAAAGGTGATGTCACCATGAGCGGGTAGAGAAACGTGGGAGGTTGCTTGTTCTGTATGTCATGTGTAATCAAAAAGTTTGAAGTGTTTGCTTACCAATAAAAATAATTTCACTGGGGGGGACGACAATATATTTCAGAGATTTAAAATGATGGCTGTCTCCAGAGGTGTCCTGGGGCTGGGAACACCATTATCTAGAGACGTGAACACTGACATCTACCTGAAGAACAGAGGCGAGGAGATGGGTGTGGTGATGTAGTGAGTGGGGGTTAAGTAGGCTCTGGAGCCAGACTTTTAGTGTCCAATTCTTGGCTCCAACACTTACTAGCGATATCACTCTGAATAAGTTGTTTTATCTCTCTGTGCTTCAATTTCCTAGTCTGTACAGTGGGTATAATATCAGTTCCAAACTCAAAGTTGTGATAAGGAGAGCATGAGCTTTGAATTATCACACACCTGGCATGTAGTGTTTGTTATATAAATAATAGAATTAACAAAGGAAGGGCCTTTCTGGTGGCGCAGAGGGTTAAGCACTGCACTACGAAGCAATCCGCACGAGTTCGATCCCCGACCCGCCAGGGAGCAACCCACATGGTGCAGCAGACCTCCCCCGTTGCATCTGCTGCTCCCCTCAGCAGTGTATTTTGATATGTCTGCCTGTTCTGTTCCCTACTCTGTTTCTGGTGAATCCTCTCACCCCCTTCACCTCTGACCTGTACCCCAGCTCTTGTATGCATGAATAAATAAATCTTTAAAAAAAGGGGGGGGAGTTTATTTGTTGGGGTTGGAGCAGAGTATAATTGCCAAGAAAAAATATATGTAAAAGCAAGACTAGAAAATAAAGTCAAACTCTCTGAACATCAAGTAAAACAACTGTAGCACAATACCTAAAGCATGACATCATTTATGGGGGGGGCAGTGAGGAGACACTATTTTCTACAAGATAATGCATGTAAGTAAACTCACTGAAATATGTCTAGCAAGATTCTTACCTCCAAGGAGACTGGAATTGGGAGAAATAATCATGATCATGGAGAACCGCAGCATTATGTTAAATACTGGATTATGTTAAATATTGGATATGAAATGAAAAAAAAGTTAATTTTTTTTTGGGAAAGATTGCATTAAAAAGCAATGTACCTGCCAAGTAGTGAGAAAGGAGGGGCCTGGAGTCAAGGGAACAGTCCAGATGTGATGACATCAGAATTGGATCTCAGCAGCGGCCTTGCCTGAGAAAAGGAGACAAGCTGAAGACGTGGCAGCTGGAGAGCAAAATGAGCAGTTTGGGGTGTGTGTGGTTGGGTGGGAAGAGGAAGGGAAGGATGAGTTTGAGATCAAACTGAAGTTGGTAGGTTTTAAGAACTATTACATCATCCAAAGGAGGTTGAACTTTGCGTAGATAAGTTGTGGGTTTTTTTTAAGATTGATTTATTTATTTATTTATTTATTTATTTATTTATTTATTTATTTATTTATTTATTTATACAAGAACGGGGGTACAGGCCAGATGCGTGTGAGGGTGAGCAGATTCACCAGAGACAGAGTGGGGAACAGAACAGGCAGACTGACAAAATACATTGCTGAGGGGAGCAGCGGGCGCGGCAGGAGAGGTCTGCCACGCCAGGTGGGACCCTCGCTGGGCGGGATCTAATGCGCTGCAGAGGTTGCAGACAGCTTCACAGTGTGGCGCTCAACCGCCTGAGCCACCAGGGGAGACTCTGTGTAGATAAGTTTTTAAAGCACTTAAGTGACATGATGACATCAGAGGTACCCTTTGGCTGCCAGGTAGCAGATGAACTGGAAAGTTAGAGAGTGACCGCTTACAGACTGTCTAAGGAGGATGCCGTCTTTTCCGATCCAGAAACCCCCTATAAGATATCATCTCACACCCGTGGGAACGGTACTTGTTAAAAAGACCCCCAGCAACAAATGCTGGCGAGGATTTGGAGAAAGAGAAGCCTGTTGCACTGCTGGTGTGAATGTAAAGGAGTACAGTCATTTTAGAAAATGATATGGACCTGTTTTTATTTTTTTAATATTTATTTTTATTTATTTACACATACAAGAACCAGGGTGTAGGCCAGACAAGCAGGGTGGGTGACAGGATTCACCAAAGACAGAGTGGGGAACAGAACAGGCAGACTGACTGAAATACACTGCTCAGGGGAGCAGCGGGGAGACAGGAGAGGTCTGCTGTACCGTAAGGGTAACTCCCTGGCCAGGGATCAAACTTGTGCTTCAGCGGCTGCAGATAGCTTCATGGTGCTGAGACTTAACCCCTTGCACCAGCAGAGAGGCCCTGGACCTGTTTTTTAAAAACTAAAAATGGAAATACTACATGACCCAGCAATCCTATTCTTGGGCTTCTAAACTAAGAACATGAAACCATCAACTCAAAAAATCATGTTTGACTATGTTTACTGAGGTTTGTTTACCATTTAGCCAGGACATGGAAACACACTCATTACACACATTTATATAAAAATGAACAACGATGTAAAATATATATATTTAAGTAAATACATTTAATTAAAAAAAGAAGATGAGGTATACTATTCAGCATTAAGGGGAGATGAAATGTTGCCATTTACAGCAAAATAAAAGGGGTTTGAGGTCATTATGGACAGTAAAGCAAGTTAGAATAACGAAGACAAATATTGGACATTTACACAGCAGACAAGCTGATAAAGGAAATGCTTATTAAAAACTAGCTGACACTAATAAATGGAGAAGCTTCTGGGGTTAAGAGGGAGCAGCAAAGGCGGAAGGGCCAAGTGCTATAAAGGATGGTCATGGGGGAAGAAAAAGAAATTGGTGGAAAATATGGAATTATCTAGGGATCCTTTGAGATATAGAAAGAAAAAAGACTCTCAAAAGAAAAAAAGTTTAATAAAAAAATTTTTAAATGAAGTACCTCTAAATGGCAGGTAGTCCTGCAAATGAAGAGTCCTCTGAATGTAGGGACAGAGAAAGGGCTGGATCTGCAAGATAATTAGGAGGAGGAACCAACAGTCCTTGCCTCTCAGCTACCCCACCTTTTTGTAGTTATTGTAACCTGTTTGGGAGGCATTACCTTTAGTCACCTTTAACCCTTACACTTTACGTTCTGGGACCCAGGGCTGGGACATAGGATCTAAATCCTTAACTCTGTTTTCCTCAACCACCTTCCTCAACTACACACCCTCATTCCCCCTACACACACACACACACACACACACACACACACACACACACACAGACATACCCATGCAGCTGTTCAGTAAATACCAGACGGTGCTGTCCCTGCTCAGCCAGGGGGACCTGAAGCTCCCCATCCCTCCCGCTTCTCCCCTTCTCCCCTCTTTCTATCAGCAAGATAAAAAGACCAAAGGGAGAATGAAAACTGCAGGAAGGCCAGGGCGCAGGGCCCCGATCAAGACCGGGCAGGAAGGACTGAGAGGAGACGCAAGGGGAGAAGGACAGGGATCTTGGCACCCACTCGCCTTTCAGTGCTTTGGCAAATTCACGCAAAGTCACATTGTTTCTGGCAGGAGGTTCTGCCTTCCCACCATCTGGCATTAAGGACTGAGTTAAGGGGCTACATAACCACACACAGCACACACCCTGGGAGCCCAAGATGTGAAGAACTCAGTCCCAGCATCGGCAGCCTTGCTGTGTTTACGCCAAAAACCTACGTAATGGGGGGCCTCCCTGGTGCCATACGGGGTTAAGGCCCAGCACTATGAAGCTATCCGCAACCACCGCAGCACGAGCTCAATCCCCGGCCAGGGAGGTGACCCACATGGCACAGCAGACCTCTCCTGTCTCGCCCGCTGCTCCCCTCAGCAGTGTATCTCAGACAGTCTGCCTGTTCTGCTGCCCACTCTGTCTCTGGTGAATCCTCTTACCCCCCACACCTCTGGCCTGTACCTCAATTCTTGTATGCATAAATAAATAAATCTTTTTAAAAAATCTTCAAATTAAAAAGAAAAACAACAACTATGTAATGGGTATGTCCCGGGACTCTTGGCAAATTGAAATCCTCAGGTCTATGTTCTTCTGCCTCTCTGCCCTTGTCAATTCTCAGATGCTGTCAACTCATACATCCTTCCCTTAACTTTCCACCCAAGCTCCTGAGAAACCTCAAATCTGCCCAGCGACGAATGTCTGTCTCAGTGGGGCCCCAAAGTCATGATCTCTGAGTCTGTGAATCACCTGACTTTGAGCTCAGCGGGTGACCAGTATCGAGGCAGAACCTGGCCAGGGTGGGAGTACATGCACCTGGGATGTGGGCACTGTGCTGCCGTAGGGGCGTTTAGGACTGGCAGTGCTGGCAATGTGATGGGCACGTCAGGCTCATCTTGCATAAAGCCAGTTCTGTCTCCCAAGTGGCTGTCAGGAGCTCGGAGCAGTTTTGTGTCATCCCCAGGCGTCCACTTACAGCTCTTGAACCTCAGGTCTCCAAGGTCAAGTGAGGCTGGAGCAACTAGAGAGCCCACAGTCCCATGCTCTGTCCCCCACCCGCCACACACCATATCAGAGAAGGCTGAGAACACAGCCGAGTCATATGCACTATGCTTTTATTGTCACATTACCCATGGCAAGGCATGAGGTGGGGGTGGAGCCCTCAGGCAGAAATGCAGAAGGAGGGGAGCAATGGGAACCCTTTTCCCCAAATTCTGTCCTCTTCCCAGCTGATGGGGTTGGGGGCTAGACCTCCAGCAAGGCTGCCTTAGATACAGGCACAGTGTTGCGTGAGAAGGTTGGGCACCGTCTCGTACTTGAACGAGTAACCTCCATCCGAGGTAGTGCGGACACGGAGGGGCCTCATGGTCCCTGGGAGAGCAGCACAGCAAGGCAGGGCCCCTGGCACCAGCGAAAGGCGCTGCACCGGGGTAGGGGCAACCCCAGGGCCTGGTAGGGGCAGGTCTGGCGGGGTGGGCAGCCCACAGCCACCGTGACAATAGTGGAAGATGAAGCTGGGAGGGTGCACGATCCACCGGTCCCAGCCCAGCTCCTGGAAGGAGATGTTGAGGGCTGCTCTGTGGCAGTTGGCATGGGCGGCGAGTTCCTCTGGGGGCCTCTGCAGCAGACGCAGGGCAGAGGGAGACCAAGGCCAGGACAGCGGGGGAGCGGAACGGCGGGCTCGCTCCCCTCCGCTGGGTGGCCTGGCCCGCGTGTGGGCCACCAGGAAGGGTATGGCCTCAGGCCGGGCTGAGCAGGAACAGAGAGGACAGCGCAGCAGCAGCACCAGGACAGGGTGGCTCAGCAGAGGGAGGGCAGAGGCTGCCAGGTGCAGCACAGCCCAGCGAGGCGGGCCCTGGCCCAGTGTCATGGGCACAGCCACGGGAGCCCCAGATGACAGCACCAGCAGGTCTAGCAGGGGCCCAGAGCTATTGGAGGCTGCTGTGTCCTGCCTGTTCAGTCCCGTGTGGAACCACAGCTGAGCCGAAGTCACCTGGCGGCTGCGTGTGTGCTGGGATGGCCGGAACACGTAGGTGAAGAGGCCTTCCTCTGCCTCCCGGGCCAGCTTTCCAGCAGCTGGCTCATCCTCACAGCTGGCACCTGCAGGAGACAGAGGGAGGCAGAGGGCAGCCCTGACTAGCAGAACGCGGGACCCCTCTTCCTCAGCAGAAGAGATGTGGCTACCATTCATGAGCCTGCCAAGCACACTCTGGGTGCTCTGCCAGACTCGGGGACTCTCTCCAGTCTTGAAAGAAGTAACAGAGGCGCCCATCTGTTATTTCATCATTAAAGGACTTAAAAAATACAAGACACTGCCAACTTCTCTCTGAAGTGGTTTTGCCAATTAATATTCCCATCAGCAATGTGAAAGAGGCCCTGCCTGTCCCTTCACCAAACACTGAGCTGGGAGTTAGACTTACATTTCGTTCATCTGAATGTGTGACACATACCTTGACCGGGGTGTCCACGGGTATTTGTTCTATTACTCTGTATCTTCCTAGACTACAGCAATGTTGCATGACAAATTCTCTAAAATAATTGTTGTTTGAAAAGACAGGTTAACACCAAAAAGGAACAGAAGGAGAAGAAAAGGCATAACTCAGAATGAAGGACAGAACTTTCTAGAAAGTGTCTTTGACATGCTTTTCCTCAGGTGTTTCTAGATTATACTAAAGAATGACAGACCAGCATCAGCCAAAAGACTGGCAATTGGATCTGTACTGTTACATGGATTTATGTCATTATAAACTTCATAATGGTTGACCCATTGTGCAGATAAGGGAACTGAGGGTAAGAAAAGTGAATTGACATTTACCTCTGTAGTACTCAGGCTGGGAGTCTGCCTGATCCCAAAGTCATATTTGTGCTTCTTGGGGACTAAAGAGCAGGGAGGGAGAGGTTCTTTTCTAAGAAAGTTCAGCCAGATTACAAGAAGGGCTTTATTCCATCAGCCACTGGGACTTGGGGACATATATAAGGAGGTGAGAAGGGAATTCAAGAGAAGTTAAACTAGTTTTCCAACTAACTTTCTCCTGCATCCCTGCTATCTTTTCGAGTTTCAGGTACTTGGGGTTAAAGAAACAGGGTTCGTAGTGGGGAACAGAGGCAGAGACAGGCGGAAAAGGGGCAGGAAGGGACCTGGGCCCTGATATCTCTAGAGCCCGTTGGCCTCCCAGAATTCTCCCAAACGTCTCCTAGGAGCCACGCATTCTAGAGACCATGTCCCTTAATCCTGAGAGCTGGGCATTATTGTCCATTTGACAGATGTGGAGACAGAGAGGCTCAGGGAGGTTCAGAAACTGAACCATTTGTTGTAAAGTCCGTTGGCTGAGTGACACATCTGGGATTCAAACCCAGATAGGCCTGGCTCCCAAGGCTGCTGCACCACAGTGCTTCCCCAAGGCAGCCTCCACCCCCACTTCTCCATTACCTGTCACTGGGAAAAGGATAGCCTGGGAGACATCCTCCTCCAAAGGTTCAGAGCCCCGGCGGCGCACGAAGGCCCCCACAGCATGTCTTCGTATCCTGATTCCAGGATCCCCACCTTCCTGGGTTACTGCTGGGGGCCCCAAGGCATCCAGGAACAGGGCCCTCACCTTGGCCAGGACCAGTTCCCGGTCAAGCTCTGGTTCCTGGCAGCCATGCCCACCATGGGGGGCCAGCAACAAGAGGAGCAGCAGAGGCAGCTGGGGCAACATAGCTCACCTAGCAAGGGTGAACCTACACCCTGTCCCGCTCCCCTCTGTCAGGGTGTGCCCAGGGCCTCCCTGCTCTCCCCTCCCCATCCTACCACAGCCCTCTTTTACCCTCCTCACCCCAGGCTTCCCCAGGCCTTCCCACGCCCTGCTGTCCCAGTTGCCCCTGCCCATGGCATTGAGACCTCCTATCTCTGACGCAGATGTCTGTGGCCCTGAGCCTTATCTCCCACTCCCGCCAGGAATGTGGGGGAGGGGCTGGTGAGGGTTTTCACCCCAAGTGACCTGACCCACACATACAACCCCTCCCCCCACACACACACAAATGCAGGCGCTTGTACACACACACACTGCTAAGAGTCCCATCCCAACACCCAGTACAGAGGTGATAGTGCGTGGGTCAAGGCGGGGGGTGCAGGGGGGGGGCGGTATGGGGTCTTCCAGCTCCCGAAAGCGTTCTTCATCAGGGAGACAGAACTCTGCGAGCCAGCCCCACAGACCTTGTGGGGCCCCTTCCAACCCAGCAGGGCCCAGGCTGGGGCTGGGGCTAGACCCCGGGCTCAGCGGGGGGCTGGGGGGGTCTCTGCCTGCTCTATACTTAGCCTGGAGGAGCCCGTCTGGGCTCCTGTCCTCCAGCTGTGTCATCAGAGAATATTTTTGGGATTGGCAGCTGCAGGCGCCTCTGCCACTCAGGCCCAAGCCAGGCGGGCCGTAGGGGACCTGGCGGCTGGAGGTGGGAGGGAGGAGGGGAGCGAGGCCCGGGCTGTGGGAGGGGGCTGGAGAGCGAGGCGCTCGGCGCAGGAAGCCGGGCCGCGGGGCCCCTCGCGGCGGAGCAGACAGGAAGGACTGCCCCCTGCGCGCCGGGCTCCGCGCCCGGGAGTAGCCGCCGCCGCAGAGCTGCAGCCCGGGGCCGAGGGTAAGGAGGCGAGCCGGGAGCGGGCGGCCAGGGCAGAGCTCCGCGGGGGCCCGCGCCCCGCCGCGCCCCGCCGCGCCCCGCCTCCCGGGCTCCGGGGACCGCTCCCGGCCTCGGCGCGCCCGCCGGCCGCCCCCAGCCCCCCGCCCTCCCCGGCGCCGTCTGCGGCCGCCGCGATGAAGGCGGGCTCGGGGGACCAGGGGAGCCCCCCGTGCTTCCTGCGCTTCCCGCGGCCCGTGCGGGTGGTGAGTGGCGGCGAGGCCGAGCTCAAGTGCGTGGTCCTGGGGGAGCCGCCGCCCACCGTCGCGTGGGAGAAGGGCGGGCAGCCGCTGGCGGCCTCCGAGCGCCTGAGCTTCCCCGCGGACGGCGCGGAGCACGGGCTGCTGCTGAGCGGCGCGCGGCCCCACGACGCGGGCGTCTACGTGTGCCGCGCGCGCAACGCGGCCGGCGAGGCCTACGCGGCGGCCGCCGTCACGGTGCTGGAGCCGCCCGCGCCCCCCCGCGCCCCCGCGCCCGCCGCGCGCCCGCCGCCCGCGCCCGCCCCCGGCGAGGGCGCCCCGGTGTTCCTGGCGGGGCCGCGCTCCCAGTGGGTGCTGCGCGGCGCGGAGGTGGTGCTGGCGTGCCAGGTGGGGGGCCTCCCGCCGCCCGCGCTGCACTGGGAGAAGGACGGGATGGCGCTGGGCGAGGTGTGGGACAGCGGCCACTTCGCGCTCGAGCCGGGCCGCGCCGAGGGCGGCCGGGGCGCTCGCCTGGCGCTGCGCATCCTGGCGGCGCGCCTGCCCGACTCGGGCGTGTACGTGTGCCACGCCCGCAACGCGCACGGCCACGCGCAGGCCGGCGCGCTGCTCCAGGTGCACCAGCCCCCCGAGAGCCCGCCCGAGGACCCCGACGAGGCGCCCCCGCCGGCCGTGGAGCCCGGCAAGGGCGCGCCCAAGACCTTCTGGGTCAACGAGGGCAAGCACGCCAAGTTCCGCTGCTACGTGATGGGCAAGCCGGAGCCCGAGATCGAGTGGCACTGGGAGGGCCGCCCGCTGCTCCCCGACCGCCGCCGGCTCATGTACCGCGACCGCGACGGCGGCTTCGTGCTCAAGGTGCTCTACTGCCAGGCCAGGGACCGCGGGCTCTACGTGTGCGCCGCGCGCAACTCGGCGGGCCAGACGCTCAGTGCCGTCCAGCTGCACGTCAAAGGTACCTCGTCGCCCCGCGGGCGGCTGGGGCGCTGGAGAGGGGACCTTGGCGCCCTCTGGAGCCCTGAGTCCGGCCCTCCTCGGTGCCCAGAGCAGACCTGCTGGGAGGGAGGAGAGGCGGAATTCAAATACCACCTGCTGCCCACCCTCCGCGCCCTGGGACCGAGATTTAAGAGGTGCCAGGGCGCCCAGGAACTTCTTAGCAAACCCCAAAGTGATTCACAGGCAGATGGTGGAAAAACCCTGGTTGATAAACAGCTTTGAGAAGTGGTGGTTTTCACTTCTTTGTTATTTTACTCCCCTCCCCCAAGGGCCGGGGCCTCATTCGGAGCCCCAGTCCCTAAGACAGATAAAGGGAGCGATTTATGGGTGTGAGTTTCTAAGCCCAGATTTGCAGTGTACACTCGTGAAGCTAACCAGTGAGTACAAGGGGGGGAGTTTTACAGGATAGGCTTATTTGAAGCGGAGGCTGCCTGCGTATCCCAGGCTAGATCAGTGGGGAAGGTCCCACCGCCCACAGCTTGTTGAGACATTCCAGATTCATACCAAAGGTAAACGTGAGGGAGGAAACCCCCAGGCAAGTTTTGACTAGTCGTCCATTAAACTGCTCCATGTTTGCAAGAAAGGAAAAGTAAGGAGAGGAAATTTATGTTTCAAAGTTGAGTCACCAATAATAGTCAATAAATACTTCAATTGCCCTTAAACAGAAAATCTAGGGGGGTTGGAAAACCACCCTAAACTCACACTGGAAGTTAAGGCTCTCCTTAGTAGCAGTTCATCTCAGCTCCCCGGATTATACCTTCCCTGGTTATCGCCCAACTGTTTCCCTCATAGGAAAAAATGCTGGCAGATGTCCCGAGCCTTGCCTGGCACGGGGTCAAGCATGTGGCACCTGTGTCGCAGTGGTGGCCTGGTGGGCATGGGTGGATGTGCACAGATGGGCCAGACCAGCTGAACTCTGGCAGGAGGGAGGAGCTCACTCAGCAGGAAGACCCGGGAGGAGCTTTCCAGAGCTGCGCAAGGCCCTCAGGCTTCTCCTAAGCCCAACTAACCCACGGCCCTTCTGTCATCATGCTTTCTTCCCTTCAAAATGCAGTTTGAAATGCTTTAACTACTTTAAAAGTGAAATTCAACCCAGACCCTAGCAGAATGTGTGCCTCTGAGGGCCCCAGCAGCCAGATTGAACATCACTGATGTTCAAGCCCAACCGTCCCTCTTACCACTTTACAAGAAAGGAAGCTGAGGCCCAGGATCACTGAAAGGCCAGAACCACCTTGGCCATCTTCAAGGTGCTGTGGCTAGGGATGTAGGCCATCCGACTTCCCTCCTGGTGGTTTTTCTGTGATTCCACAAAGCCTGCTGGCTCTGGGAAAAGAGCCTCTGGCATGAGCTCATGTGGGTTTGGGCAATGGACAGTGCCAGGAGGACCCTTCACCCAGCCTGGCCCTCTCCAGAGCCTCCCCTGGTCTCTGTCCTCCCCCAGAGCCCCGCCTCCGCTTCACGAGGCCACTGCAGGACGTGGAGGGCCGAGAGCATGGGATCGTGGTACTGGAGTGTAAGGTCCCCAACTCCCGCATCCCAACCGCCTGGTTTCGCGAGGACCAGCGGCTGCTGCCCTGCCGCAAATACGAGCAGATCGAGGAGGGCACCGTCCGGCGCCTCATCATCCACAGGCTGAAGGCAGATGATGACGGCGTGTACCTGTGCGAGATGCGGGGCCGGGTGCGCACCGTGGCCAATGTGACAGTCAAAGGTCGGCTGGCCTGGGGAGGAGGCGAAGGCTCACGACGGTAGGTGCCCGGACCCTGGGCTGATGGGCTCCTGTCTGCCTCCCAGGACCCATCCTGAAGCGGTTGCCCCGGAAGCTCGATGTCCTGGAGGGAGAGAATGCGGTGCTGCTGGTGGAGACTCGAGAGGCTGGGGTCGAGGGGCGCTGGAGTCGCGATGGGGAGGACCTGCCGGCCACTTGCCAGAGCAGCTCTGGCCACATGCATGCCCTAGTCCTTCCAGGAGTCACCCGAGAAGATGCTGGCGAGGTCACCTTTAGCCTGGACAACTCACGTACCACCACTCTGCTCAGAGTCAAATGTGAGGGCACAAGAGCCCCCGTGCAGGCTCTTCAGGGCTGGATAGGAGGGCCAGGGCAGGAGGGTGCTGGACACCAGAGCCTGGGTGGGCAAAGTGGAGTTAAGGTGGGAGGGCTGTGGAAGACTGGAGCAAGGCTCGGATACAGACCCTGCCTCTGTCTCAGGTGTCAAGCACAATCCTCCGGGGCCCCCCGTGTTGGCAGAGATGTTCAAGGGCCACAAGAACACAGTCTTGCTGACCTGGAAACCCCCTGAGCCAGCTCCCGAGACCCCCTTCATCTACCGGCTGGAGCGGCAGGAGGTGGGCTCGGAAGACTGGATCCAGTGCTTCAGCATTGAGAAAGCTGGGGCTGTGGAGGTGCCGGGAGACTGCGTGCCCTCCGAGGGCGACTATCGCTTCCGCGTCTGCACCGTCAGCGAACATGGCCGCAGTCCACATGTTGTGTTCCACGGGTCTGCTCACCTCGGTGAGTTGGTCCTGCCAGACCCAGCTCATCAGTGACTGTACCCCAAGGGGGGCTCTGCCCATCACCTCTCCTTCCCTCCCCAGCCTCTGGTCCCCATCCTCTGCTTCACCTGCCATCCCCTGCCCTCTGCCACCCCTCTGGTTCTGATGGCTGTGTTCTGCCCCCTTCTCAGTACCCACAGCTCGTCTGGTAGCAGGTCTAGAAGATGTGCAGGTATACGATGGGGAAGATGCTGTCTTCTCCCTCGATCTCTCCACCATCATTCAGGGCACCTGGTTCCTTAATGGGGAAGAGCTCAAGAGCAGTGAGCCAGAGGGCCAAGTGGAGCCTGGGGCCCTGAGATACCGTATGGAGCAGAAGGGCCTGCAGCACAGACTCATCCTGCAGGCTGTCAAACACCAGGACAGTGGGGCCCTGGTTGGCTTCAGCTGCCCGGGTGTGCAGGACTCAGCCGCCCTCACCATCCAAGGTTGGTGTGAGTGGGACCAGAGTGGGTGGATAGGGTCATAACACACGTGTCCTGTGGACAAGATAAGACAAATGTTCTTGCCGAATCTCACATCTAGGCTCAGAGAGTAAGGTACATGTATAGGACTCAGTGTTCTAGAGACCAGTCTCAACCCACATGCAACATACAGGGCCCCTTGTTATTGTCCACAGTATCATATCCAAATTCTTCAGGGAAATTTGTGACTTAACTCTGTCACATTTGTCATCTCAGAGACATGGCCCCTGACCCCTCGTCCTCAACTGCTTCCTGCCCTGTAGTTTATCTGTTGGAGCGGTTTCTTATGGACCAAGCTTAATCATTTTTTGTATATTAACACAACCCTTTGAACAGCCCCATACACATAGAGTCTTTTGTCATCCCATTAAACAGGTGAGGAAATAGGCACAGAGCAGTTAAGTGACTTGACCAAAGTCGCAAAGCTAATGAGTTGCAAAGCTAAGCTCTCATTAGCTTTGCCGGGCTAGGAACCTAGGCCGTCTGGCTCCAGAGTCACACTGTACCACCTGAGGCACCCCCAAGGAGGAGGTCAGTCATCGGCAGGAATGCTGGCATTTGCCTTCTCACTGTCATTGCTGGGGTTTGTGAGGCCAACCAAAGGATTCCTCGGTGCCCAAGCCCAGGGTCTTGAAGGGGTTGGCCACCAGCACTCCAGGAAGAGAGCAGAGTAAGTAAGGAAAATCCAGCTCCTGGTGCAGCACTTCCAGAAGGGAGCCCCAACCACTGACATCAGCATCACCTGGATGCCTAGTTTATAATGCAGATTCCCTGGCCCTTGTACCCTTGGCGGGGGGCACAGTCTAAACACCTGCATTTCTAGCAGACTCCTTTGGAATTCCTCCACACACCAAAACCACTGCTCTGGTTTTTTTTTAAAGATTTATTTATTTATGCATTCAAGAACTGGGGTATAGGCCAGAGGTGCGGGGGAAGGGGGAATAGGATTCACCAGAGACAGAGTGGGGAACAGAACAGGCAGACTGAAGTATACTGCTGAGGGAGGAGCGGATGAGTCAGGAGAGGTCTGCTGTGCCATGTGGGTAGCTCCCTGGCTGGCTGGGGATTGAACTCGTGCGGCAGAGGCAGCCGATGGCTTCACAGTGCTGTGCTTAACCCCTTGCGCCACCAGGGAGGCCCCAAGAGCACTAATCTTAAGAGTTGCTGGGTAAGCCTAAAACTATTTGTAAAACTCCAACAAACGCACAGGCAGCAGTTGTTGGCCTGATATGCCTGATAACCTGCAGCAGAGGGGGTGCTTGTCCCAGCTGGCGTGCAACACACACAATGCCCCATGTGACCGTGCTTCTCCCTGCAGAGAGCCCCGTGCACATCCTGAGTCCGCAGGACAAGGTGTCGCTGACATTCACAACCTCGGAGCGGGTGGTGCTGACCTGTGAGCTCTCCCGGGTGGACTTCCCGGCAAGCTGGTACAAGGATGGGCAGAAGGTGGAAGAGAGCGCGTCGCTGGTGGTGAAGGCCGATGGGCGCAAACACCGGTTGATCCTGCCAGAGGCCCAAGTCCGAGACAGCGGCGAGTTCGAGTGCAGAACAGAAGGAGTCTCGGCCTTCTTCAGTGTCACCGTCCGAGGTCAGGAACAGTGCTCCTCCCCCTGGGGCTGGCTTGGGGCCGCGCAACCCCTGCCCCTTGGGCTGCCTGCTGGAGGGGTCCCTTCCAGGGAGGGCCACAGAACGTGGTTTCAGGTTACTTTGCACTTGCTTCTGAATCCCCCCTGCACCTTCACCCTCCAGCACACTTGCCCCCAAATGCCCTCTGCTGGGGAGAGGGTGGGGGAACGGAATTCCATCAAGGGGAGGAGAGGAAGGAGCGACTTTTACCAGGTGCCTACTGTGAACCAGGTACTAAGCTGGATCATGCAAATGTGTAATCTTCACAGATAGATGGGCCACACTCTCTCCAGTTGACACGTGAAGAAACGAGCCCATCAGAGTTCTGTGACTTGTTCATTGTCACAGCCGGCAGACTCCCTGTCTGGGTTCATGCCCAAGACTGTGCTTCCCCTGCTGCTCCAGGCGGACAGGGTCAAAGGGAAGCATTAAGTGCAGAGGTCTGACAAATCTCAAGGCAGCTCATGGTCTGGCTGCCTCAAAACCATCCTGGAAACCTGACATAAATGCAGGTACCCAGGCACCCCGCACCTCCAAAGCCAAGATCTCCAGGGCAGAGCCTGGGGTTCCATTCTGGAAGGACAGTTTGGTAGCCACTGATCTGGCTCATCCCACTTTAAGTGGAAAACCTATTCCAGCCCCACTGCCAAGAGGTCTTCTAGCCCCTGCCTGAATGTCCCAGTGGCAGGAGCTCACTACCTATAGGGAGCGGGTCCCTTTGGGGCATGCTAGTCATTTTGTTTAAAAGCAACAGCAAGTGTGGCCCTGCCGTGGCTTGTCGCAGTCACCTGTCCAACTAGACAAGCCTCCCTCCCTCCCTCCTGGGTCCCCACTCAGCCATCTCTGATCTTGGGGACCCATGGTGCATGCAGGTGCCACATCACCTATTCTGTCTCGCTCATCACACCTCAGCATCCTGTACCACTGCCCCAGAGTTCCCTGCACAATATGGGCTTGGCCCTCCCATTGTCCTCCCAGGAGGAAACTGTCTTCTGCCTGAGCAGCATGGATGCTTGGTTCCCACGTGTGGGGTAACCCCATCTCTGCTCCCCACCAGACCCCCCGGTGCATATCCTGGACCCCCAGGAGCACGTGTTCGTGCATGCCATCACCTCTGAGTGCGTCATGCTGACCTGCGAGGTGGACCGAGAGGACGCCCCTGTGCACTGGTACAAAGACGGGCAGGAGGTGGAGGAGAGCGACTTTGTGGTACTGGAGAACGAGGGGCCCCATCACCGCCTGGTGCTCCCTGCTGCCCAGCCCCCAGATGGGGGCGAGTTTCAGTGCGTCGCTGGAGATGAGCGTGCCTACTTCACCGTCACCATCACAGGTGGGGGTCCGGCCTGGCTTCCCTGGCAGCTGTAATGGTCTCACTCCTGGGCTGCTAATCCCAACCCCTGCTTGCCTCCCAGCTGATCGGATGCTCCCTTCCCTCTGACCCAGACCCTATCCTGACCCAGCTCTATCCTGAGGTTCAGTCACACAGGAAATGCGTTGCCATTAACCCACTGGCTAGGGCTACATGAGTCACGGGGAAGTCCTGCCTTCTCCATACTCCTGAGGACCCCTGCCAAGGGGAACCTTCGGGAACATGAGTTCTGCTGGGTGGGATCAGAGCAATTGAGTACAGGTGCGAGAGGGGTGGGAAGAGGCCCCAGCCCCACCCGGGCCACCCAAGCTCCCCTCAGCATCTCACCCTTCTCGCTGTCCTTGCCCCAGCCCCGAGCAGGCACGGGGTTTCTGCGGCCACGGTGTGACTGCTCCCTGGTCCCTGGTGTGCTTTGGTGACTGTGGTTGTGTCTCCAGCTGTGAGCGACTCTCCAAGCGGCCGAGGGTCCGCTTTCCAGGAGCAAAGGATTGGTGTGGATCAGGGAGGGCAGCAGGGCGCCTGGGCCTCGGCCCCCTGATGCCCAGCTGTGCTGTCCCTGTCCTCCAGACGTCTCCTCGTGGATCGTGTACCCCAGTGGCAAAGTGTATGTGGCAGCTGTGCGCCTGGAGCGCGTGGTGCTGACCTGCGAGCTGTGCCGCCCCTGGGCCGAGGTGCGCTGGACCAAGGATGGGGAAGAGGTGGTGGAGAGCCCAGCGCTGCTCCTGCAGAAGGAGGACACTGTCCGCCGCCTGGTGCTGCCCGCCGTCCAGCTGGAGGACTCCGGCGAGTACTTATGTGAAATCGATGACGAGTCAGCGTCCTTCACCGTCACTGTCACAGGTGTGGGCCCACCCCAGCTGCCCAGGGTCACCGGAGGATAGTCCTGAGCCCTTGGGGGAGCCGACCATGTACCCTCTAGCTAGCACATGGGGAGGAGGGAGGCGCGGCTGCGGGTGCATGTAACCTGGGGTCCCTGGCCAGATGAGCCCCAAGCCCCGTTCAAATCAGCAGGCTTCTCCCCACTGCCCAAAGCCAAGAATAGCTGTGCTCACCGGCTCACCTGCCAGGCATTTTCTGTGTGCCGGACTGGGCACTGCGTGCTGGGAACTGATACACAGACCCGGTTCCTGCTCTCGGAGAGCTGCCCGTCCAACTGGGGAGAAAGCTGTTAACCAGGGGTCGCAAACGGGTGTCCTCGGGCCCCATGCAGCACACAGATGTGTTTTGTTTGGCCTGCAGAGTCTTACCAAAGTCAGGACAGTTCAAATAGCAATCCGGAGTTATGCGTCCTCTTGAAAAAGCCGAAGACCCGGCGCCTCTGGTCCCGCTTCCCCCCATGGCGACGAACAGCTGGTGCTGAGTAGCAGCTGCCCCTATAATATGGGGCCCACATTCCTCTGACTCCCCCTCCCCGCCATTCCTTTTTGCCTCTCCCCAGACTGCTTCAGCCACTGACCTTATCTACCTGGCCCCTGTGGGCATTTGAGTTTGCGACCCCTGTGTTAAATCAATAAACACACAAATAAATGTACAGTGACATCTTGTGACAAGTGCTCGAGGGATGAGGGCAGAGGACTCACGAGAGCAGAGCAAGAGTCAGGGAGGGCCTCGGAGAGAGCCTGCAGGCTACCGCCGGTGCCAACCCTGAGCTGGGCTCTGGAGACTCCACAGCTCACAGCCTGGCAGGAAAGCCAGACATGGGAAAGGATCTTAGAGTGGGGGGCTGTTGAGCGTTGTGTTGGGGTGCATTGGAACTCCCAGGCTGGGAGCTCCTAACTGGTCAGCATGCAGGAAGTGACTTCAAAATGGACACTTGCAGCAGGGACTGAATTAGCTAAGTGGGCTCGGGGTTTGGGCTGAAGATGGAGGAGAATGTTCAAATCAGGAAAAGCACAAGAAGACTTTGGAGGTGATGGTGGGTTGGTACCAAAAACTGGGGCTGCAGTCCATAGTACCAATCCCGATGGGTACATGTGGCAGTGCTGATGGGTGTTGTAGGGCCCGGGCAGCTTTGGGAGGCACAGAAGAACCCGGCCAGTTGTATTGGATTGACCATTCTGCTCCTGGCATCTATTTTCCTCTTCCCCCTGCCCTGCCCCAGCCTAGGCTGAGCCATTTAGCCCCCTCCACCACTCCTTGCACCCAAGATACTGCAGGGGGGACTCCACCAACCCACAAAGCCACGGAGGTCTTTCTTCATGTGTTCTGCGCTGTAGCAAGTGCCTTCAACTTCTCTCGCCTTGCCCCAAGCCCTGGACAGACATAATGGCCCAGCCACACACATTTCGGCCCACAGTTGCCCTCCCCACAGAACACCAGAATCTTCACGGAGAAGTTCACACAAATGCCACCCGGGATATGGACCAGGGAGAATCAAGTCTGATGCCATGTTGAGGCCCCACAGCTGTGCAGGCATCCCAGCCCTACCCCTGCCCTGTCCTCATGCCACCTGGCCCGTCACCGCCCCCACCCCACCCCCGCAGACAGCCACGCTGCCATCTGGCCACCTGCCTTGCTGGACCCACGGAAGCAGTCTGCATCCTCCAGACTCTTAGAACAAGTCCAGTTGAGGTGGATTGCAGAGTGGCAGGGTGTGTGCCAGTGGGCTCCGCTTTCCGTGCCAGTCTGCAAAAAACCAGACCAGGAAGCTAGATGTTCCCTCACCCAGCCACCAGGGGGCAAATGCTAGAGGCACATTAAGGAGTGCAGACTTGAAGATCCTGGGAGACCACTGGGGAGCATGGGCAGGCCTGCACTTGGTGCCCGGGGCATATCCGATGTTGACATGGCTCCCTGTTGGCGGAAGTGTGACCATTACCAGCAGTTGGAGAGGAACTCCCAGAATCAGCACTTAGCACCCCTGGGAACTCTTGGACAGGTGTTGGCAACTCTTATGCACAGATGTTAAAATCATTACCGAGTGCCTGCGAGCGTTGGCTGGGAATCCCTACCACTGCTTGCGTAGTCTGAGCTTCCCTTCACCAGGTGGTAGTTCTTCCTTCCGCTCGAGGGTAGGCCGCAGCCAACTGTGACTTAGCCATCTGTGCCTCCATGTCCTCATCTGGAAAATGGGAATAAAACAATTCCTACCTCTTAGGGTTGCTGTGAGAGTTAAATGTACAAAGTGTCTAGGACTGTTCCTGCAACTTTAGGAAGGGATGCAGAAGTATTTGCCTTACAGACTATGACAGATTTCTTATTCACTGCTCCAAAACAAGACAAAACACCCCTCCCCAAATCAAAGGGCTTTTTCTAAGTTCAGTATTCAAAGGTATTTCCATAAAACCTGAGCTTAACTGCTGTGAAGCTATTTCTTTAATTTTCCTCTTTATGGTAAATGTATCTAGTCACATTGCAGAAGTCTTGGTCATTCAGGAGTTCCTTTGGGACCTCCCCTGGGGGTGGGGAGGATGCGGCAGGACTTAGCATGCTGTGCTGGACCCTGAAGCGTTCTAGATTCTGTCACACCTCTGCCCCAGGGACTTCAGGGAACAGATCAAGGCCCTATTACTACTTAGGACCCTCGGTGCTCTTGTTCCTGTGGCAGCAGAGACTTCATGCTGCAGGCTGGCTCCAGGGAGGCTTCGGGGAGTTTGTGACGAGCTGTGGTTGCTCCCACTCTGCAGAGCCCCCGGTGCGCATCATATACCCCCGGGATGAGGTGACCCTGATCGCCGTGAGCCTGGAGTGTGTGGTGCTGATGTGTGAGCTGACTCGGGAGGATGCCCCGGTGCGCTGGTACAAGGATGGCCTGGAGGTGGAAGAGAGTGAAGCCCTGGTGCTGGAGAGTGACGGGCCTCGCCGCCGCCTGGTGCTGCCCGCTGCCCAGCCCGAGGACGGGGGCGAGTTTGTGTGTGACGCTGGAGATGACTCAGCTTTCTTCACCGTCACCGTCACAGGTGGGCAGGCATGGGGGCATCCGGGGCAGCAGACAGGCAGGAGTGACCGACACCAACCCCCCACTTCCCACATCTTAGGGGCCTCCACCTGTAGCTCATAGCCCCCCCCATTCTCCAGCCTCCTCGCCTCCTCTGCCTCATTTCTGCCACCTGAAAGCCCTGGCTTGTCCACATCAGGTTGAGAGCGTGACCAGAGACCTGGTGGAGAGAGCCCTGTAACTAGCAACGTTCGTCATTCAGTCAGCAGAGGCTGTGAGCAACTACTGTGAGCTCAGCACTGTTCTAGAGGCAGAGGGCTGCAGTAGTGCACCAGTGAAGCTTGCGTTCTAGTGACTATGGGCAGACAGAAAATAAGTAAATAGATGGTTTATCGGGCGGTGATAGGTGCATCACGGCAAAGCAGGGCAAGTGGAGGCTCAGATAGGTCTGGGCACAGGTCTGGCTCTACCTCTTTGTGTCCATGTGACTTCGGGCGAGTCACTTTCCTCTCACAGAGCCTCAAGTCCTCATCTATAAAGTGAGGCCAGCAGGGGCACATCTCCTAGCAGTGTCAGGAGTGGCAGAAACAAGAGTTGCGGTGTGCTCAGCACAGCACCTGGCGCAGGTGCCCAGGGGTTGTAGCCGGTACCATTCCCCAAAGCAGTGCTTCAAAGGAGAGGACTGAGCATCTGGCGGATGAGGCAGGTAGAGGGCTGCTGGCTGAGGCTAAGTACCCCCATCTCTGTCCACCACCAGCCCCGCCAGAGAGGATTGTGCACCCAGTGGCCCGCAACCTGGACCTGCAATTTGGGGCCCCAGGGCGGGTGGAGCTGCACTGCGAGGTGTCCCCAGTTGGGTCACAGGTCCGCTGGTACAAGGATGGGCTGGAAGTGGAAGCATCGGACACCCTGCAGCTGGGTGCTGAGGGGCCGGTTCGCACCCTAACCCTGCCCCACGCCCAGCCTGAGGATGCCGGGGAGTATGTATGCGAGACCCGTGATGAGGCTGTCACCTTCAATGTCAGCCTGGCTGGTGGGTACCCCTGTCCAGCCTGACGGGGGTTGGGAGGGAGGCAGGGGACACGGAAGGCTGACCCCCTCCTCTCTGTCCAGAACCCCCAATACAGTTCCTGGCCCCAGAGGCAGCCCCCGGTCCACTCTGTGTGGCTCCTGGGGAGCCCGTGGTGCTGAGCTGTGAGCTGTCCCGGACTGGCGCCCTAGTCTCCTGGAGCCACAACGGGACGCCGGTGCAGGAGGGAGATGGCCTGGAGCTGCACGCTGAGGGTCCCCGACATGTCCTCCGCATCCGGGCTGCAGACCCAGCCCAGTCAGGCCTCTACACCTGCCAGTGTGGGGCAGCCCCGGGGGCCCCCAGCGTCACCTTCACTGTGCAAGTGGCTGGTGAGTAAAGCCTGGACAGAATGCCCAAGTTATACCCCAAAGCCCTGGCGTCTCCCTGCTTCTTTAGCACCCTTGTTCACCCTGCCCGCCCCTCTTAGAACCTTTCCCCATCTTGCCTCCCACTACCCTCCTCAAAGTCCTTGAGCTGCTCCTCCCAGTGACCCCCAGCTTTGACCCCACAGAGCCCCCCGTGTGGGTAGTGGCCCCCGAGGCAGCCCAGACGAGGGTTCGCAGCACCCCAGGCGGGGACCTAGAGCTGGCGGTACACCTCTCTGGGCCTGGGGGCCCAGTGCGCTGGTACAAGGACGGGGAGCGACTGGCCAGCCAGGGGCGGGTGCAGCTGGAGCAGGCCGGGGCCAGGCAGGTGCTGCGGGTGCAGGGGGCACGGAGCAGGGACTCTGGGGAGTACCTGTGCGACACGCCCCAGGACAGCCGCATCTTCCTCGTCAGCGTGGAAGGTAACAGTACACCCCTACACCCTTTGGGTCCTGGCACCCCAAGGACCACACCCTTGTGCCATTCTGGGTCCCCTCTCCTCCCTTCCCTGCCTCAGTGCCTCTGGCTCCAACCGGTGCATGTACAGCTCTTGGATGAGGACTCGGGGCTCCCTTTCTGGGAACCCTCACATAGGAGGAGGCGCAGCCCAGTGGTGAGAGGTCTGGGTTTAACCTGGATTCTGCCTCCTAGTAGCTAGACAACACTGGCACGTGGTTGCCTGCTGTGAGCCCTGGCTCCAAAGCGGGAGGCTGGTGCATGTGTTACACAGCTGTTGTGACAGTTAAGTGAGGTAAAAGGGTCCACGGGAGATGGCCTGTTGCTAGGGAGTCAGAGCGGTGAGGCGCCAGGCCAGGATTGAGAGGAATCGGCCGGGAGTGGCAGGTAGTTGGCATCTTGCCCTTTGGAGCAGCCCATGGTGGACACACAGTAGGTCCTCAGGAAAGATTTGTTAAGTAACTGGGGGATGAGGGCCTGTACCCTGAGGAGGGGGTGAAAGGGAGGAGGGGAAAGACCCAGCCTGCCTCACTGCCTATCCCTACCCCCCAGAGCCACCACCCGTGAAGCTGGTCTCGGAGCTGACACCGCTGACCGTCCACGAGGGTGACGATGCCACATTTCGGTGTGAGGTCTCCCCACCCGACGCCGAGGTCACCTGGCTGCGCAATGGGGCCGTTGTCGCTCCAGGGCCCCAGCTAGAGATGGCCCAGAACGGCACGAGCCGCACGCTGACCGTGCGAGGCTGCCAGCTGGCTGATGCGGGGACAGTGACGGCTCGAGCAGGGGGCACAGCCACCAGCGCCCGGCTCCACGTGCGAGGTTTGGCCCTGGCGGGGAGGAGACGGTGCTCCCTGGGCCTGTTCTCCCAGCTCCTCCCCAGCCGCCTCGCCCGGACTGTGAGAGGGAGCAGGGGCCGGTCTCAAGGCCCCACCTGGCTCATGGCCCTCCCTGATTCCCCCCCAGAAACGGAGCTGCTGTTCCTGCGGAGGCTGCAGGACGTGCGGGCAGAGGAAGGCCAGGACGTGTGCCTGGAAGTGGAGACGGGCCAAGTGGGTGCAGCGGGTGCCGTGCGCTGGGTGCGCGGTGGGGAGCCCTTGCCCTGCGACTCCCGCCTGTCCATGGCCCAGGATGGCCATGTGCACCGCCTCTTCATCCACGGCGTCGTCATGGCTGACCAGGGCACCTACGGCTGCGAGAGCCACCACGATCGCACCCTGGCCAGGCTCAGCGTGAGGCGTGAGTGCCCTGTCCTCTCCTAACACAACGCTTGCCCCTGGCACAGCCTGTCCTAGCTGGCCCAGGGCCCCTCAGCACCCCCACCAAAGTGCCCCTCGCCACCGAGGAAGGTCAGCTGGGGCTGACCTCCGGAGTGTGACCTGTCCAAAGCAAAACTTTTCTTTTTCTAATGTTTTTTATTGACCTTAGCAGTCCATGTGGGTTTTGCATTCCATTTCCTATGTCCAAGTTCGCTTTGCTATAAACATAAATATTATGCTCCAGAAAGACTCGCTGTGTTTGCCCTTCAGGCCCGTCTGAGAAGTAGGGATGGCTGCTCAATAGCACCCTCCAGCCCCCACGCTGGCGCTGCGCCCTCTCTTATCTGTGTGACCTCATGCAACTGATTTAACCTCTCAGAGCCAAGTCTTCTTAAAGTGAGACTGATCCCTGCTTCAAGGATCTTCAGGGCCATTAACCGAGATAACAGGAAAAGTGCCCAGACAGAGCTTGGCAAATGGTTGTTGGTGGTGATGCGAATTCTCCTCTGGCTGAAGTCATGCACTTACTCACAATAAACCCACGTCTCAGTGTTATTCGCCTAGAGCTGCTGAGCAGTTTGCCAGAGGCCACACAGCACACAAACTGTGCAGAGCAAGTGCTCAGTCCTGTTTGCCTCCAATTTCTGCGCTTCTCTCAGTGTCACAGCATCTCTCATCCAGACACCTCAGGCCCCTAACCACACCTCCCCGCTTTCATGGGTCCCCTCTCAATACCAGTATGGCCTCTCTTCAATCCTGGCCCAAGTCTGGCCGGCTGTGCTCCCTTCTTTCCATAGGGCCTTAAGTTGGGTGTTAGGGGTGGTGCAGGCAGGGCCAAAGGGTATGTGAGCCCACTGAAGCCCCTGCCCCCAGATGGTGCCTTCACCTCCCTCTCTCCCCATCTTCCCCCACCAGCAAGGCAGCTGAGGGTACTGCGGCCTCTGGAAGATGTGACCGTCATCGAGGGGGGCAGCGCCACCTTCCAGCTGGAGCTGTCCCAGGAGGGTGTGACTGGGGAGTGGGCCCAGGGTGGAGTCCGGCTGCAGCCAGGGCCCAAGTGCCACATACACGCAGAGGGTCACACCCACCGCCTGGTGCTCAGTGGCCTGGGCCTGGCCGACTCTAGCTGTGTCTCCTTCACGGCGGATTCTCTGCGCGCTGCGGCCAGACTCACTGTGAGAGGTGCGGCCTTGGGGACCGCTGCTTGCCTGCTGACCACCCTAGCTGTGACTGCTGATCCCACTACCTGTGTGGCCCCCACTAACTACACCTGTCCCAGTGTGACCCCCCCCACACACTGACTTCCTTGCTAGATTGTGACCCTCCAGGCCTTTGGCCCAGTGTGGTCCCAGTGACCCTCCCATAGAATGTGCCGCTGTGAGCATGCCTGTGACAGCGCAGGTCCTGTTGTCTCCTGCCTGACCATAGCCCCATGGACCACTCTGAGCGTGACCCCACTGACCACACCTGCCTGCTGTGGCTCCCTCCACCTCCCTGAGTGCCTTTCTGACTCATGTCCCAACAATCCACAGACTGCCCAGGGGTGACTCCACCAGCAGCTCTGTGCCTAGGGGTGACTCCAGCACAGCGTCACTGTGCCCTATGCATCTGTGACGGGTACCCCATGGCTCCAGCCAAGGGTGGCCACCACTCACCATGCCTGCCACACATTGACCCCTTTGATCCCACTCTTTCCCACTGACCAGCACCCCTACCTTCAGCCTCTTGTCCCAGCACCTCCCACTCACTAGTGGTCACCACTAATGACTTCTCTAGACTTGTCTAAATGTATCAACCACTGGCCCCTTGTGCCCGAGGGTGTCCTCCTCGTCCCTGTGTGCTGGGCCCCCATTCTGCCCTTACACTGCTCACTCTGCACTGTCCTCCCACCACCAGAGGCCCCAGTGACCATTGTGCAGGGGCCACAGGACCTAGAGGTGACTGAGGGGGACACAGCTACGTTCCAGTGCGAGCTTTCCCAGGCCCTGGCTGATGTCACCTGGGAGAAGGTCAGAGCCCAGCCCCAGCCCAATCCACCTTGGCCTCATAATACTGTCCCCAGCAGAAACACTAATACTCACTATGTGGATGTGCCTGGCACTGTGCTAAAATTTGCTTTACATCTAATCCTTTCATCCTTATGACCCTAGAGGTGGGTCTTCATATCCCCATGTTATGTCAGGAGACTGAGGCTCAGTGGGTTGAAGCATGGCCCAGGGGCAGGTAAAGGGGTGGGGCTCGTTTTTGAATCCAGGTTTGCCTAATTCCAGAATCCACGCTTATGACTGGTGTGATCTACACATGATACAGGCTTCCCGCGCCATGGCACTCCTTCTCAACCCTAGCGCCTCCCAGAGTGACATTAGGGGGGCCCCTGGCCAGACCCCAGCCTGAGCGTGTGCATGTGTGTGGGGCTGTGTGTGTGCTCACGGAAGCGCGCGCCCAGCGGCGCAAACACAAACACCTCGAGACCTCTTGGCATCAGCAGAGGGCGCCGTGGGCGCCTCCCAGGGCCGCGGTCGCCCCGACCAGCCGGCCGCTTCCACCCTTTGAAACTCCCGCCCTAGGACGGGGACCCGCTGTCACCCAGCCCTCGGCTCAAGCTCCAGGCCCTCGGCCCGCGCCGCCTTCTCCAGCTGCGGCGCTGCGGCCCCTCGGACGCCGGGACCTACAGCTGCGCGGTGGGGGCCGTGCGCGCCGGGCCCGCCCGCCTGTCCGTGCGCGGTGGGTACGGGGTGACCCCCAGGCGGGCGGCCGCTGTGGGTGCGGGGACGGACGCAGATCCGAGCTCACCCGAGAGTGGCTCGGGGGGCGTGGCGGGCATTTAAAGATTGGGGCGGGACGCGAACGTCGCGGGGTGCCGCTCCGCGCGCCCCGCCCGCCTGACGCCCCGGGCCCCGCCCCAGAGCGCGCGGTGTCGGTGCTGGGCGAGCTCAGGCCGGTGCGCGCCCGCGAGGGCGGCAGCGCCACGTTCGAGTGCACCGTGTCGGAGGTCGACGTCGCCCGGAGGTGGGAGCTCGGAGGCCGCCCGCTGAGGCCCGGAGGCCGCGTCCGCATGCGACAGGAAGGTCTGGGCGACCTTGCACCCTCCCCGGCCCCCCAGTGCCCCGCCCCCGGCTCGGGCAGACCCCGCCCCGGCCCCCAGACCCCGCCCCGCGAGGGGAAGCGCCGCCCTCCGCTCCGTGGACCCGCCCCGCGGCACATCCAGGCGGTTCGGTGTCTTTCCCCGACCCCCGGCTCAGACCTCGGTCCCGGGCCGTCCTCTCGCCCCTCGGAGCCGCAGGTCCGCCCACCTCGAGACCGACCCGGGCCCCTGCCCCGGCCCCATCTTCACCCCCGAGCGCTCCCCGGAGGCGGCTCTGGCCTCGCTAGCGCCCCTTCACCCCCAGGGAAGAAGCACATTCTGGTGCTGAGCGACCTGCGCGCGGAGGACGCCGGCGAGGTGCGCTTCCAGGCCGGCCCGCCCAGTCCGCGGCGCGGCTGGAGGTGGAGGGTAAGCGTCGGGGGAGGCGGCCGGGCAGGGGCACCGTCTCCTGCCGGGGTTGGCGGCCCTTGCTAGGAGGTCTGCTTCTCCCCGCACCCCCCGCTCCTCGAGGTGCTCCTCTGGGGCGGGTCACCGAGGGCACTGCGTTCCCTGGAGGGCAGGAGACTTTGGGGGCACCGAAGAACAGGCTGGTGGGCGAGAGGTGCGAGCCCAGGAGTGAAGGCCGCGGTGGGGGGGAGACGTGTCCCTCCTCCTGCGGGCCCTGCGCGCCCCTGGTAACTCACGCCCTCGCCCTCCGCCCCCAGCACCGCCTCTCCAGATGTGCCGCCGCCCGCCTCGCGAGAAGTCGGTCCTGGTTGGCCGCCGCGCGGTGCTGGAGGTGACCGTGTCCCGCCCGGGGGGCCAAGTGTGCTGGCTGCGGGAGGGGGTCGAGCTGTGTCCGGGAGGCAAGTACGAGCTGCGCAGCGACGGCCCCACCCACAGCCTGGTCATCCATGACGTGAGGCCGGAGGACCAGGGCACCTACTGCTGCCGCGCGGGTCAGGACAGCGCCCGCACCCGGCTGCTGGTGGAGGGTGAGTAGGCCGCCCGGGCAGAGGTTGGAGGGGCAGGCTGGCTGGCCAGGCAGGAGGGGTCGCCTGGATGCTGGTGGGCAGAGACATTCCTGCCGGAGGCTCTCCAGGACTTTGGGTGGCAAGTTGCTTCTGGGGCGTGTTGGAGGGGGGAGGGGATCACACACAGGACTGAGAGGAGGAGCCCGACTGTTCTCAGCAGGAACCATCTGGTTCAGGTCAGCTGTTCTACCCCCTTCCTGTCCAGGCTTCTCCTCCCTCCCCCCTGTTTCTCTCTCCTGATTACCCCATTTGTACCTGAGTTCCTCTCCTTCCCATCTGCGGCCCCTGGCCTCTGTCCCCCAGCTGTCCCTCACCCCCTCCTGCTCTCTACCCAGCTGGCTTCTTCCTGTCTCAGTGAATTCAACATCAGCCTGAGCAGTGAGCTCCTGAGCTGAGCCCATCTTCCACATAGGAGATGCCCTGCTCTCTGCCTGCATTCCTGCCTTGCCCCACCCCTCACTGACCTCCACTTTCCTGTCCCCACAGACAGCCTGACAGAGGCTCTGAAGGGGTGGGGCAGAGGGTGAAGAACCGCTCTTCCTGTGTGGGTGGCCAGGCTCTGCAGGGGAGAGGAAGGTGGTGCCCACTCTCTCCCCAGCCCCATGCAAGTCATTCCTCTGCAGGGAGCTAGGAGGACCGAACCAGGCCAGGCGGGGCCCTCGGACAGCTTGGAAGGCGCTTGCCCTTACTCTGGGCAGGGGTGGGGAGGCAGGGGAACCAGAGGTGTTGGGAGACAATAAAAGTGGTACAGTCCTTTCCCCGGCTCTCTGTGTGACATGGGAAGGCAGGACTTGCCTGGACCTCCTCGTGTAGTAAGTGACACAGGGGACCAAGGGCTACAGAGCTTCTAACTTGGCCCTGGAAGTGCCGGCCACCAAAAACCACCACTCCTGGCAAAAGCCACACCGCTTGGCACATTTATAAAAGATGTAAAACAGGGTGGGGTGGGGGAGACAGAAGCATGAGGTGTCCAGGCTGGCATGACAGACACCAGACATGCACCGTGCATTTAAGCCCCCTCCCCCCAGCCCTCTCCCCAACCCAACCCAGAGCAGCACCCCCCACCCCCATCCCCTGCCACTGCCCTCAGGCTGGTGGCTTTGCAGAGGACAGGGGACCAGGGTGAGGGGTGCTACAGTTTGCCCCGTGAACAAGGACAAGAACCCTTAGATGAGTCTGGTTGAGAGGCAGAGCAATGGGGGAGGAAGGCAGACCTCCTCCACTTAGACATGCAGGAGAGTGGCCCAGGGGACCCCAGAAGTGGGAGAGGAGGCCGGGCCAACCTTGGCGAAGCCCTACCAATCAGAAATCTAAGGCAAGAGTCCCACTGTCCCCTCCAAGCCCACCCCTCCACACGTACACGCACACACGGGTAACACACTCACAACCCTGAGCACACCCCAATGGGGCTCACACCCCGCGTCCCTCAGGAGCCCCTCGGCGCTTGGGAGGGGGCCTTCCCCTTAGGCCAGGCCTAGCCTAAGACAAGGTTGTCCCTGCCAGCACCCAGGCCAGCCCTGTCCAGGGTGGGAAGAGGGACAGCCCAAGGCTACAGGGCCAGGCCGGCTGGGTGGTGGCCAGCAGGCCTCCCCTAGCTGGCAGCGCTGGTGACCGCAGAGTCTAGGTGGGCAGGAGCAGCTGTACTGCTATACCCGCACAGGCGGCCCTGAGCAGGCCGTCAGCGGCCCCCGGGACCCATACTCATAGTCCGCATCTGTGGGCGAGGTCATGAAAGAGCTCAGCGAGCTCCCGGTCTGCCGGTCCCGGAAGCTCTGGATGTAGCTCTGTGGGCGAGTAAACACAGGTGTGAGGGGGCCACTGTAGACCTGTGCCCTGAAAAGCCACCTCTCCCTGTACCCCACAAGCCTGAGACTGGTTCTAGACTAGTATGGGCCCAGGACCTCACCGCAGCCCCAGCCCACAGCCTTACCTCTTACCACACCCCGTTTACAACTCAGACACCTCTCCCCTCACCAGAGCTGGGCCCAGCAGATCCTGGTGAGGGGTCAGGGAGGCAGACAAATGCTAAGCTTTCTAGGCAGCCCAGCCCCTGGGGAAGGCGCGGTCCTGCTTGGATGGGATCTGCCCCTCTGCCTTCTCCCCCATGTGGGTTGGCTGGCTCAGGGTGCTCACCGGGGAGAGGACATCTCCATTGAAGCGTTTGATGGGCACTGGCCTGCGCCGATACGCAGGGTCAGGGGGCCCGGGCCTTGGAGGAGCCCGGGTGCCTCTGGGTGGAGCCCGAGGGGGTCTCTTCTTCCTCCGCTTCTCCTTGCGCTCTTCCTGCTGTCGAATCCGCATCAGCTGCACACGTCGTCGCTGCCGGCTGATGACCACTGGGAAGGGATGAGCAGTAAAGGGTCTCAGGCCACGTGCCTCATCTCCTCCCAAGCCTCCCTGACACTTCCAACCCCTGGGCTCCAGGCGTCCAGACCCCCCCTTCCTTTCCCCGGTCTCCCCATGCCCAGAGGGCACTTTCTGCATTTGTTCTTCTGAAAGTGTTTATGGGAGGTTCCTAGACTCCCGGCCCTCCTCCCTGGCTGTGACCCTCTCCCAATCCTGAGCCCGCGGGACTCGCCTAGAGCGGTTATCACCCTCTCTCCTCTGGACAGCCGCAGCTGCCACCTCACAGGCTCCCCGTTCTGTGCGTGCCTGCCCGGAGGCTTTTCTGCACCCAGCAGCCAGAATTTGTACCCCAAATGCTAATTAGTTTACATCTTCCCCTGCTTGCACCCTCCAACAGCATCTCCTTGCCCTTCTAATAAAACCCAGAGTCCTCGTGGCCCAGAGTGCTCAGCCACTCCACTGCGGCCATCCCAGCTCCACTTCCTCACACAGGCCGAGCTCATTCCTTCTCCAGCCCTTGCCCTTGCTGTTCTCTCGTCTCTGGCTCCTTACATGGCTGGCCCCTTATCCTTCAAGCCTTAAATGCCACCTCTTCCAAGTCCCCTTCCTTGACCACCCTGTCTCTATTGCACATCACCCATCACACCCTCATACTGCTCTGCACCACTGGAACGATCTGGTTTGTTTGCATGTTTTGCATGTTTATTGTCTGTCTCTCCCATCCAAATGTAACCCCCTAAGAGTGGGTGGCCCTTCCTGTTTGGTCTCTGCTGTATCCCCAGTGCCTGGAGTGGGCTTGGCACACAGCCCCTGTCCCAGGGCTGGCGTGATGGTGGCACTGAGGTCCTATCTTCTTGACCCTGAATGAGTCAGCTCTGCGATCCCATTGAGTCCTTCTGCTGCCGGTGGGTACAGCGTCCCTCACTCTACAGCTGCTCAGTCCCCACCCCAGCCACTCATTTCTCTCATGCCCACCCTGCCCTGTCCCCTCTCACCTTCTGTGTGGGAGTCTCTCTCAGCTGTCACCCGCCATTGCACCAGAACGCCCATCAGACTGAGCAGGGGCCAAAGTGCCAGCAGGGCCCAGCTCCGCCAGCAGAGAGGGGGCACAGGGGCTGCTCTCAGTCGCTCCACCGCATAGCGCCCCAGCAGCAGCAGCTCGGCGAAGTAGTCAGCAGCAGTGGCGATGAGTGCGGCACCAGTCACGGCAGTGGCCAGGGTGGTGAGTGGGCGGGGCCAGCGCAGTGTGAGCAGGGCACAGAGCAGGCCACCCCCCAGCAACAGCCCCAGTGGGCCCCACACAGAGCCGGGCTGGTAGTAGGGTGCAGAGCCCAGAAGGGCGGCAGCAGCGAGCAGCAGGCCTAGCAGCAGCCCCACCAGGAAGAGGCCAACGCTGCGCACCAGCATGGCCACCAGCCCGCAGAGCAACCCGATGCCCAGCGCAATGCCTGCGCTCGCCCCGGCACTCAGCTGCGTCTCCAGCACCCGCTCTCGGTAGCACAGCAGAAAGATGACCACTGAGCCAAACAGCAACCCAGTCAGGAAGAGCACTGCCTTGAAGCAGCGGTAACCTGGAGGAGAACAGGGGCTAGTGAGGAGCCAAAATGAGGTCACCAGGCTGGAGGCAGAAGTTCAGAGGGGCCAGGGACATGGGATCACAGGGGAACCAGGGACAGGACACTAGATCAGAGAACTGGGGGATATTGGGATAATGAGGGCATCAGTGATGGGGTCACTGGGATCAAGGGAGGCCAGATAGCTAAGCACTGGAGAGCCATTCAGGTAAACAGAGGTCTTTCCAGGTCAGAGGAGTCAGATCATTGGAGCCAAGAGTGGATCAATAATAGGACATGGAGTCTTTGGGTTCATGGGGATCAGAGAGATAGGTCCCCAGGGTCACAAGGGATGAGCAGTGAGGTCACTGGTGGCTTCAGGGACCACTTTCTTCAGAGAGATGAGGTCTTTGGAAATCAGAAAGAACTTGAGAGATGAGACTCACAGAGGTTCAGAAAGATGACATCTTTGAGGGATGACAGGGCTTTCAAGATCGGACATCATTAGAAGTTTACAAAGAAAAGTGAGAAGCAGAATTTTGGGGATGGGGTTCCAGGAGACGAGGTCTTTGCCGGGGGTTAAGAATATTAAAGGGTTTCTGAGAAAGGGTAGTACTGAAGTCAGTGAAATGGGATCACTGAAATCACAGTGAGGGGGAGGGCAGTCAGCCATTGGGGTCATACAGGGCAGGGGGTTGGAAGTAACCAGAGATAAAGAGTAACAGAGGAAGTCAGAGAGAAGTAAGGTGATGCGATAACTAGAGGGTGCTTGGGGTCACTAGGACTTACTGGGCATCATACGGAATTAAAGAGGATTATATAAGGGAATAGTGGTTGGGGAGTTTCAGAAGTTGGGGGTTATAAGGTCATTAGGCCCATTAAGGGACCCTGAAAGAGTGAGGGACTTGGGGATTCTGAACCATTAGGAAGATGGAAATCAGAGATAGGGGTCAAAGGGCTGGAGATTGCCAAAGAGACAGGAAGCATCAAAGCCTGTGGATATTCTGAAAAGAGAAGTAGAGCATGCGTGGAGATACAGAGTACAACAAGAGTCTGGGAGTGAGGGCATCCAGGGTGAGGGATGGGGTGGCAGGAGAGGAAATGTCAGGCTGTATGGAACAACTGCAGAGTGGATAGGTCTGGACACTGGAGGGGGTGGGGTGACACAGACTCCTTAGAGGCCTGGAATGTGTCCTGAACCCTTAAAGGGATACTTCTTCCTGCCCACACTTCAGTTATTCAGCCTTGAATTTGGGGGTGGTAGGGGAGGGACCATCTGGTTCCCTTGCTGCCTACTACCCAGCCATTGTGTGTGTGTGGGGGGGAGGCTGCAGAATACAAGTGTCAGCCCACCTCTGCCTGGTCTGGAACCCAGACTTCCAAGCCTCCTTTGCATTTCATTCTGTTGTCTATAACGCTCCTGGAGGGCTTTCTTGGACCCCAACTCAGAGTTCATTCCCCTCACTGAAGTTCTGTAATTCTTGCTGTAGTGTCACTGGCACTTATTTCACTAGCCTATCTGGCACCTGTGTGCAAATTAGAAAAAGGCAAAGCAACCTTATGGCAAGGCCTGGAGGTTGGCCAGTGGAACATGGGCTGGGGGGTTTCAACTGAAGTCCTTCATGTAGCACCCATCCTGTACAACTGTTCAGAGCCTTGTGGGTGATCTCTCTGTGTATGTGATTAGCATCTAGCCCACCCTAATATGTATCATGGATGTGAATATTCCAGCAGTCCCTCCCCCATCAGACAATATGCCCTGTGGTAAAAGACCATGTTTAATCGCCCTGCAAAATGTTTTCAGTGCCTATTTAGCACAGTGACCCAAACACATCTTCACCACAGTGATTACTGTTAATTGTCTACTAATTCTCACAACAACCCTATCAGACAGACATCACTGTACCCATTGTCCAGATTAGAAAACTAAGGCTCAGACAGTTAATGTGCCCAAGGCATCACAATTAGTGAGGAATGAAGCCAAGTTCAAATTCAATATGCTTAATTAAGAGATCTGTATTCGCTAGGATCTAGACTCTAATTGATCTAGGAACATATGTGGGGTGAAAGAAGAGAGTTATTCGTGGTGGTGGTGGTGATGGTGAAGTTCTAGAGATTTGGGAAAGGGAGCCTCAGAAAAATAACTTGGGGAAACAGTGGGGAGCCCAGGTGAGGGATGAGATGGGGGTCTCACCGAAGAAGCAGTAGACGACTCCAAACAGACAGCACATGATGCAGATGAGGGCCGGCAATGCCTGGTACCTGCGCTCCAGGGGCTGTTCACAGGGTGCGCCCCAGAAAGCATCATCATCTGGCTCTGGGGGCAGCAGCTGGAACCGCAATGTTGCCACAGTGCCTGACATAGTGCTGGGAACACAGGGAGTCACCCTCCCAGGTCAGCCTGACAAAGAGGAAGTTAGGGTCAAGGAAGAATCGGTCCTGGGTCTCCAACAGGATGGGAGTGAGAACGGCAGTGGGAGAAAGGACACAGTGGACAAAGGAGTGGTACCCACATCATGCACTTCTGGAAGCATCCCTGAAGTCGGGGGGCGGGGGGAAGACAAAGGGAAACTAAAGTGTCTGATTAGAAGGGTCTGGGGTGAAGAAGTTCAAAGGCGGGACTGGGCTGGGAAGCTATGAGGGCAGTGCAGCTGCCGGGGAGGAGGCAGTCAAAAGGCTCGTCTGTGGGCGGCTAAATCTGGGCTTGTCCAAGATCTACCTGTGCTGGAGGCGACCTGAGCGTCTGAGCGGAAGCGGCTGTGCAGGGGTCGGAGGATCCGGAGTTGCTGGGCGCCAGAGGCCCCGGCGCCCTGGGGTCTGGTAAAAGTCCGCCTTGCGGGGAAAGGGGCTGCTGGGCCGGAGACACCGGTCTCTGCGCGGCGGCGTCGCCGCTCCGCCTCCAGCACCGGGCGGCACTCCCGTCCCGCGGGGCCCGGGGACTCAGGCCGGACCTGGGGAAGGGAAAGGCGCGGGAGCAGGGGCTCAGGTTGCCCCAGAGCCGCGGCCCCATGCCCTGAGCCCGCCCGCGGCCTTTGGTGCTGATGGACAGCTCCGGCCGCTGCTCCTGACGTCACTCAGGGCGCACCATCCCGGCAGGGGCGGGCTGCTTTGACGTCACGCGGGGCGCACCAACCAGGCCGAGGGCAGCTAGGCGGCTCCGCCCCCAGCGCCTCGTCTCCAGCCCTGAGGAGGGGGCACTTCCGGGAGGCCCTCCCCGCTCACCTCCCCCTTCCCCTCCCTCTCCGGCCGCCGGAGCCCCGGACCCCTCCCCGGGGCGGGGCTCGCGCAGTGACACGTCGGACAGCGGCGGCCGCCGCCGAGGCTCCAGCGCCGAGCCCGGGAGACCTGCGCTGCGCTGAGGCGGCCGGGCGAGGACCGGAGCTCGGCGCGGGGGCTTCGGCTCGGGGGTCTGGCTCTGCCCGGCGGGGGGGGAGCGGGCCCGCGCGCTCGGCCCGGGCCGCCCGGATCCGCCCCCTCCCCGGGCCCGCCCCCTCGGAGACTCCCCTGGCGGCTCTGGGGCTGCTCCCCGGCCGGGGGCCGGCGGTCCGGGCGCCATGCGGGCATCGCTGCTGCTGTCGGTGCTGCGGCCCGCGGGGCCCGTGGCCGTGGGCATCTCTCTGGGGTTCACCCTGAGCCTGCTCAGCGTCACCTGGGTGGAGGAGCCGTGCGGCCCGGGGCCGCCCCAGCCCGCTGATTCTGAGCTGCCGCCGCGCGGCAACACCAACGCAGCGCGCCGGCCCAACTCGGTGCAGCCCGCAGCGGAGCGCGAGAGGCCCGGGGCCGGCGCCGAGAACTGGGAGCCGCGCGTCTTGCCCTACCACCCTGCGCAGCCTGGCCAGGCCGCCAAAAAGGCCGTCAGGTAGGGATCAGCCCCGCCAGCCCCACCCCCTGGGCACCGACCGGGACGGGTGTGCTGGGGAGGCTGCTGAGGGCCGGATCAGGCTCCGGAAGGAAGGGGCAGGCCGGCCAGGAAGTCATTGGGCCTGGGATAACTTCCGATGGCCCTGCTTCCCGGGGAGCTGCGGGGCGCAACTGGGGCTCTCTCTGGGCCCGGTCCAGGCCTGGGATGAACTTGCCCGCCTCCGTCCTAAACCAGCTTTACCCCATGGTCCCATAAAGACCCTCAGAGCTCCTGGCTGGGCTGTTGATTTAGAAAAATGACTGATGCACAGAGTCGGTGCAGAGAAAGAGAAAAGAGAGCCTGGATTTACCTGTGTTTCTTGTTCCTCGATGGGGCACCTGAGGGTGAAATTTGGGGGCTGGGGTGGGAGGTCCCAAATACACCTATTTTGCCGCTGCTGATAAGTTGAAGTAGTATCTCCGGAGTAACACTGAGTTCAATTTCCACTTCCACAACTTTCTGCATTGGAAAGTAAGGTACAGGAACCCTTGAGCCCTAGTTTGCTCCTCCCCCAAACACACAATATATCTCTATGCCATATATTCCTTTACATAAGGAATATGTGTTTCTGTTGTACTTATTTATATAGACACAAGTATTAATATGCACAGGGTGTGTGGAGTACCTGTGTGCCAAACATTTGGTAAAGTGCTTTAAGTGGATACAATCAGCCCATTTTACAGGTGAAGGTTACTGAGGCTTGGATAGTTTAAATAACTTGCTTAAGGACACACATCTAGGTAGGGATCAGAAACAGGGAATCAGATCCACAATTTGTCCCTCAGATCTGCATGGGTATTGCCATCTCCCCAAAACACTATATAGGGAAAGCCAACATTTCACGGAAATCCTCTTGACCCTTGGGGGAGTATTTCTGTGAGGTAACAGGCCCAGAGAGGACATGACCTGCCAGAGGCTGAGTTTGCTCTCTCTAGCCTGCCCTGTAGTGTTTTTGCTAACCTTGTGCTATCTCCAACCCCAGGACCCGCTACATCAGCACAGAGCTCGGCATCAGGCAGAGGCTGCTGGTAGCTGTGCTGACCTCACAGGCCACGTTGCCTACACTGGGCGTGGCTGTGAACCGCACACTGGGCCACCGGCTGGAGCGTGTGGTGTACCTGACAGGCTCGCGGGGACGTCGGGCACCGCCCGGCATGGCCGTGGTGACACTGGGTGAGGAGCGACCTATTGGGCACCTGCACCTGGCATTGCGCCATCTGCTGGAGCAACATGGCGACGACTTCGACTGGTTCTTCCTAATGCCTGATGCCACCTACACCGAAGCACATGGACTGGCACGCCTAGTTGGCCGCCTTAGCCTGGCTGCTGCTGCCCACCTTTATCTGGGCCGCCCCCAGGACTTCATTGGTGGAGAGCCAGCCCCCGGCCGCTACTGCCATGGCGGTTTTGGGGTGCTGTTATCACGCACACTCCTGCAGCAACTGCGCCCCCATCTGGAAAGCTGCCGCAACGATATCATCAGTGCGCGTCCGGATGAGTGGCTGGGACGCTGCATCCTGGATGCCACTGGAGTGGGCTGCACTGGCGATCACGAGGTAGGAAGAGAAGTCCCTACTGGTGCCGCCTCTCTGAGCTTGTGTATTTCCCCTTAGAAGTAACGGGTGGTTGGAGATATAGGCCTGAGTGTCCATGCTGGCTCTGTCATATCCTATCCCTGTGGCCTTGGGTAAGTTACTGAAGTGCCAGAGCATCTGTATCCTCACTGAATAGAAATGATTATTGCTCAGGGGTTTTATTCAGATTAGAAAAAATAAGGGAGGTTTGCATATAGTCGAATATCGCTCTTGGCTATCCTTCTGAGCCCCTGGACAGCTCTGAGACAGGATGCAAGCCCATTTCATGGAAGAGCTGGCAGAAGCTTACCAAAGGTCCCACTGGCTCACAAGTAGTCAAGGTAGACATAGACACTCAGAATTCTGACTCCAAGTCTATAACAGGTGAGAGTGCGCAGAGCCGAGGCTCACTGTAAGACAAGGCAGGGACACTGTCTCATTCTTCCCACTGTGGACCCCTTCCGTTCTTCTCCCAGGGGGTGCACTACAGCTACCTGGAGCTGAGCCCTGGGGACCCGATGCAGGAGGGAGACCCTCGTTTCCGCAGTGCCCTGACAGCCCACCCTGTGAATGACCCTGTGCACATGTACCAGCTGCACAAAGTTTTTGCCCGAGCTGAACTGGAACGCACGTACCAGGAGATCCAGGAACTGCAGGTATGTTCTGGGTTGGGGGATGGAGGGAACAGGTCTTGAGAGGTCTCAGAGCTCCCAAGGAAACAAAAACCCGTGCTAGAGTCACAGAACAAGACAGCTTCCCATCTCCTGTTTCTGCCTTTTCTGAGGAGCCCCTTCTGAACCGCCTCTCCCCACCCTTTAACCCTTAGGCAACCACCATTTGGGGAAAGGAAAGGAAGAGGCCCTGGGTGGGTAGATGTTGGCAGGGGCCAGGGAACCCGTCCTGATTGGCACCTGCTGCCTGCTGTGCCCCAGCTATGCACTGTCCCATAGTCTATGCCTTGCTCATGCCCTGCTTCTCCAACCCAGTGGGAGATCCAGAACACCAGCCGTCTGGCAGCGGATGGGGAGCAGGCAGCTGCCTGGCCTGTGGGCATTCCAGCACCATCCCGCCCAGCCTCCCGTTTTGAGGTGCTGCGCTGGGACTATTTCACAGAGCAGCATGCTTTTTCTTGTGCTGATGGCTCACCCCGCTGCCCGCTGCGTGGGGCTGACCGGGCTGATGTGGCTGACGTTCTGGGGGCAGCCATGGAGGAGCTCAACCGCCGCTACCACCCAGCCCTGCGACTCCAAAAGCAGCAGCTGGTTAATGGCTACCGACGCTTTGATCCTGCCCGGGGTATGGAGTACACGCTGGACTTGCAGCTGGAGGCGCTGACCCCCCAGGGTGGCCGCCGGCCCCTCACCCGGCGGGTCCAGCTGCTGCGACCACTGAGCCGCGTGGAGATCTTGCCTGTGCCCTATGTCACTGAGGCCTCACGGCTCACCGTGTTGCTGCCTCTGGCTGCTGCCGAGCGTGACCTGGCCCCAGGCTTCCTGGAAGCCTTTGCGACGGCAGCACTGGAGCCTGGAGATGCTGCAGCAGCACTGACCCTCCTGTTACTGTATGAGCCTCGACAGGCCCAGCGGGCAGCCCATGCAGATGTCTTCGCACCTGTCAAGGCCCATGTGGCAGAGCTAGAGCGGCGTTTCCCTGGTGCCCGGGTGCCCTGGCTCAGCGTGCAGACAGCTGCACCCTCACCACTACGCCTCATGGATTTACTCTCCAAGAAGCACCCACTGGACACACTGTTCCTGCTGGCCGGGCCGGACACCGTGCTCACACCTGAATTCCTGAACCGCTGCCGCATGCATGCCATCTCTGGCTGGCAGGCCTTCTTTCCCATGCACTTCCAGGCCTTCCACCCGGCAGTCGCGCCACCACAGGGCCCTGGGCCTCCGGAGCTGGGCCGGGACACTGGCCGCTTTGATCGCCAGGCCGCCAGCGAGGCCTGCTTCTACAACTCTGACTACGTGGCAGCTCGAGGGCGGCTGGCGGCGGCCTCAGAGCAGGAGGAGGAGCTGCTGGAGAGCCTGGATGTGTACGAGCTTTTCTTGCGCTTCTCAGGCCTGCACGTGCTGCGAGCAGTGGAGCCAGCGCTGCTGCAGCGATACCGGGCGCAGACCTGCAGCGCACGCCTCAGCGAGGACCTTTACCACCGCTGCCGCCAGGGTGCGCTCGAGGGCCTGGGCTCCCGCACCCAGCTGGCCATGCTGCTCTTCGAGCAGGAGCAGGGTAACAGCACCTGATCTCCAGCTGTGCCCCTGAAGCCCAGCCCAGCAACGCTCTCCCCGCTCCTCCTGCAACAACCTGGAGCCACCTCCCAGCCTCGCAGGACAGGGCTGGCCTCTGCCTTGGATCCCACAGCAGCCATAGGGCCCCTCTCTGGTTTTGTGGGTCCTTGGGCTCAGGACAAGCCCTGAGGGAGGGGCCCTGTGAGACCTGATGCAAACCCATCTCCCTGCACCCTTGACACTGCCGATTCAGGCTGTGGCCTCAGAGTATTTATACAGTGCAGTCTGCCTGACGCCAGCCGGGCCTCCTAGGGTCAGGCCCTGGGGCTGGGTTGTAGCTAGATCATGAGGAAGGGGGTAGCA